CAAAGGGACGATGGACGGGGCCATGTACCATCAAATCTTGGGTGAGAACCTCCTTCCCTCAGCCAGGGCATTGAAAATGGGTCATGGATGGGTATTCCAGCATGACAATGACCCAAAACACACGGCCAAGGCAACAAAGGAGTGGCTCAAGAAGAAGCACATTAAGGTCCTGGAGTAGCCTAGCTAGTCTCCAGACCTTAATCCCATAGAAAATCTGTGGAGGGAGCTGAAGGTTCGAGTTGCCAAACGTCAGCCTCGAAACCTTAATGACTTGGAGAAGATCTGCAAAGAGGAGTGGAACAAAATCCCTCCTGAGATGTGTGCAAACCTGGTGGCCAACTACAAGAAACGTCTGACCTCTGTGATTGCCAACAAGGGTTTTGCCACCAAGTACTAAGTCATGTTTTGCAGAGGGGTCAAATACTTATTTCCCTCATTAAAATGCAAATCAATAAATAACATTTTTGACATGTGTTTTTCTGGATTTTTTTGTTGTTATTCTGTCTCTCACTGTTCAAATAAACCTACCATTAAAATTATAGACTGATCATTTCTTTGTCAGTGGGCAAACGTACAAAATCAGCAGGGGATCAAATACTTTTTTCCCTCACTCTATCGATGGTCTTATTCTGGTGACATGATCATCGATGCTTGGCTGCCGTTGAACAAATAAACATAATCTCGCTCTTTAGTCGATAATAATCTCATCATGTAGGCAGATAGCATGTGCTGTTGGCTAGAGCACACTTGCCCATATCTGATTGGGCACACTTGCTATATAATGCAACATTTTTTGTGAGAAAACCAACAGTAGAGCTGAAAATATATGATGGAAAATCATTTAACTTGTAGTTTTTATTTGGTACATGTGAATTTAACCGCAAAGGGTATTTGTAAGTGCCTTACGTCATCACGCACAGTCTTTTATCCACAATACGTCAGTTTGATGGAAATGTATGGCGGGACAATGAGCAAATTGTTTTATGCAGATTTTAGAATATTTGCATGAACATCTGTCACCAATAGGATGGAAACCTAGCTACTGACTCGGGAAACCAAGTAGTTTATTAGGCTACAGATGAAATAAATTATGATGAACTTCACAGGGTGTTGAAAGTGCATGTGAGGAGCTTGATGCTCCTTTCCAATAAATATCTTATTCTGGTGACATGATGATCGATGCTTGGCCGCCTTTTGACAAATAAAAATAATACTGCTTTTATCAATATAATCTCATAATGCAGGTATCCCGGCAGTATGAAAATGTACGCACTCACTAACTGTAAATCGCTCTGGATAAGAGCGTCTGCTAAATGACTAAAACGTAAATGTAAAATGTATCCTAAACGCGAACTGTTGGCTACGTTTGCTATAATATAACGTAACAGTTTTTGTGACAAAACCACCTGTAGAGTTCAAAATGACCTGGAAACCCATTTAACTTGTATTTTTCATTCGGTACATGGAAATTTAACCGCAAAGGTGATTTTTATATGCACTATGTCATCATGCACAGACTTTCATTCACAATAAATCCGTTTGATGGAAACACTTCTCTGGTGGGAAAATGCGCGTATTGTTTTATGCAGATGTTTTTTTTATTTTTTTTTCCACCTTTATTTAACCAGGTAAGCCAGTTGAGAACAAGTTCTCATTTACAACTGCGACCTGGCCAACATAAAGCAAAGCAGTGCGATAAAAACAACAACAACACAGAGTTACATATAGAATAAACAATAGTTTGTTTTTCTCTCTCACACAAACTAGGTTTCCATCCAATCTGCAAAAAAAATAATATTTGCATGAAAATCTGTTGCAGATTGGATGGAAACCTAGTTTGTGTGAGTGAATAAAACGCCTTGGGACCCAATGAGCTTCCTAAACAAGGTAATGAAGGCGGAGCCTTATGACATTGCATGGCTAGGTGCCCAACCAGAATGCATTTTTGGATTTTAACTAACTACTAAATATTATATTATTACATCCACCCTCCTCAGATCATGAGCACACCCGGCATAGCCTCTGTCCCGGTCTGCGCTACTGGCAGGCCCAGCAGCGCTACATTGGCAAAACCTGGCAAGGTAATTCATATACCATTTGTTATGTTTATGGGGGCACAAATTCTATCTGGGGGTTCCGTGCTCGGCTTTGCCACCCCGTAGAGTCGTTGCATATCCTCAACTCTATGTGGTCAGATTGTGTCTAACTTGACAGTGTGACCACACAGCTACTGAGCAGCTTGTTAAGTATATAAGAGAGAAAACTGAAGAGAATTAGATGAAAAGCACAAATTCAGAGGCGATGATTATAAGTTATTACTAGTGGAGAGACATATGAAGATATTTTGCATGTGTTTTTCTTCTTGGTGGTTCAAATGATTCATTTCATGGTTGAAATGGTTAGAATTCTCATTCAATGTAAAATAGTGTTATCAATCTCATACTGTGTTATTCCAATGACAGCCATAAGGGGTCAGGCCTGTCTTCAACCATTGAGCCAACGCTCCTGCATTTTAGAAAGCGGCTTGTGGAGATCATATTCATTTCAAAACAAGGTAACATCTGATCAGGCCCTATCTATTCCCTTAATCCCTTAATGCCAGGAACAGTCAACGATGATGAGGAAAAACTGTGCAAGACAATAATTAATAATTAGTCATTTAGCAGACGCTCTTATCCAGAGCGACTTACAGGAGCAATTAGGGTTAAGTGCCTTGCTCAAGGGCACATCGACAGATTTTTCACCTAGTCGGCTCGGGGATTAGAACCAGCGACTTTTCGGTTACTGGCACAACGCTCTTAACCACTAAGCTACCTGCCGCCCGTTATGATGATGGCGCATTGGGCCAATTTTGCTCAAACTGGGTGAGCATGCAATCCAACATAAACTGATGACAATCTGGCTCCTGGTTCTAGCTCACACAACAGTTCAGCACAGAGCACACCAATTGAAAAAGACTCGGACGCTACTACTGCATTGCGTCATGAATGAATGCTAACTAAGAAGCATACTGATATCTGCGCACTAACTGTTGACTTGGTGTGACTCTCAACTCGCCAAACAGGGAGGGGCTGATGCAGTGACCCCTTTAAGAACAGAAAGAAGAGTACATGGAACTGGGTTTGAAGCAGGTGGTTGGCCAGAAACTGAAGACAAGATGCACTTCCTATTACTAAACTCAATAAATGCTATACAAAAGCATGTTCTTTGGCTCTGCAGTGGGATGATGGAAGGAGAACAGTTGTTGCTGCTGCATGTGTCTGCAGTAATGTGTGCTGTGTGGTCTGGCGCTGGATACGTTTCCTCAGACGGCTTAGTCCTGCGGACAGCTGGGGGGCAGCTGCAGGTCAGGGTCAGGCATGGGTTCACATTCTTTACTAAAAGAAAGTCAGGTTGTCATATTTAACATACATCCAGTTACACTACGCTGCTGGGCAAGAAACTCTGCATAAAGACATAAACCCAACAATGGTAACAGAGCTTCTCGTTGCACATGAATGAATGCAACAAAAGGACAGACTGTACAAGTCTGTCTTGCAAATATATTTGCATAATCCATAATAACAGTGAGAAATCAAGCTGGCTAATAAAAGGAGACTGCGTGTTGAAGGCATCCTCTCTTCTTCTCCCTAAAGTACACCGATGTTTCAGATGATTTATTCATACATCCAGCCCCATTTCCTTGCTTTTGGAATTGGCATCAGAGCTACTTCCTCCTCTCTCATCCATCTGGGAAAGCCCAACATGTGGCAGATACAAGATGATAATAGTGCTAATTTAGATGGAATCGGGTCATACACAAGGAGCTCTGGAGCTCCAACTCCAAGTTCCATTTCTGAAGTCTGGTCCAAGTGTCTCAATACAAAGAGCATGTCAATTGAGCAAGAGAGGGATATTTACAAGATCAACCCCTTCATTCCTCCACGGAGTATTGTATCCAGGTCACACAACAAAGGACTGTCACTCAGGTGCTTCCTTGCTGACTGTAAGGGTGACAATGCTCTGCCCTCCTGAGATAACCTACAGTATGTGCTGCTCATGTTAGCAGAACACTTTGTAGTTTTAGTCATTTAGCAGAGCGACTTACAGGAGCAATTAGGGTGAAGTGCCTTGCTCAAGGGCACATCAACAGATTTTACACCTAGTCAGCTTGGGGATTTGAACCAACAACTTGTTGGTTACTGGCCCAACGCTCTTAACCGCTAGGCTTCCTGCCACTACCTACCTAACTTGAACACTTCCTCTGAGTAAAACCTTTTTGCAGTGCATAAAATGACTAGGAAATCTTATGTGTATGACTTGAGTGGCAGGACACCAGCACTGGTCATGTGAATTATGCTTTTTTGGTTTATTTTTCTGAGGAACACCAATTCAATGCATAACCCAACTCGCCTTTCAACCAATCATTGTCTGTGTATCGAAAGTGGAGGCTTCAAGTTGTCCAGTGTTAGAGCCCATCCTTCGAGAGTATGTACAATTCAGTGGAGGCTGCTGAGGGGAGGACGGCTCATAATAATGGCTGGAAATGGAGTAAATGGAATTGTATCAAAGACGTAGTTTCCATGTGGTTGATCCCACTCCATTGACTCCATTCCAGCCATTATTATGAGCTGTCCTCCCCTCAGCAGCCTCCACTGGTACAATTCCATTACAATTACAATGTCAATTCCATTCCATTTAAATTCCATTTCAATCATTTCAAATGAGCAGATGTCTACACACCAGTGCAATTGCTAGTTCATTCAAATGTGTATTTTGTCTAGTCTAAAACACTGTCAACGCCTATCTACTATATATTGTTAATGAAATGTAGATTTATTTATTTTAATACCACATGGCCATAACTCATAAAATCCATTGCAAATAGATTTTTTTTATTTATTACAGCTCTAACAACGTCAGCACTGTGCCATAAAAAAAAAACATTGCAACCTCATTGGAGGAAATGGAATGGTCAACGTAAGCGCCCCCATGAATGAGAAAAATAATAGGTTACACACCGTACTTAAAGCAGGGGATGACAACTCAGAGATATCGACAGGCAATCGCGCAAACCTAAATCTTCCTTTGGACTAAACAATCAATCTTATTTGGAGTAAATATAGCCTACACAGAGCGACAGAATCGATAGTTTTTGCTTGTTCCATCATCAGGACGCGGACAATTAAGTGACTTAGACTGTGACATTTGTGATAGGCATGCTTCAAATAATGAGCAAGTATTTTATTTGAAAAAGCCTACTTAAGTTTGCAAAAATGGAACGACAGCTTTCCAAGGCAGAGCGCAAAAATATGGATACTTGCTTGAGACGTCTGAAGCAGGAACTGGTATGTCGTCTTATTTGAGTTTTTGATTATACAATGTCTGTTTTCTGTTTCTACTGCAACTATTGTTCTGATATCCAATTTGAGTATATGCATTCAGATTTAGCGTGTTTTGGAAAGTTCAAATGCAAATGTAACTGGGTCACAAAAGAAGTAAACAGCTGCAAAAAATATAAATTATAATATTGAATTATTCATATTGAGTTGTTATACAGCTGAGGTTGCATAATAAGGCATAGTGCCGTTGACTCCGTTTATAAATAACTTAACTCAAGCAAATCAAATAGCTCAGCTCGAACATTCGATCCTATAATTTTAGCAGACCGTTATTCATGCGTCTGGGGGCCATGGACTGGAAGAAATAGTACAGACTAATGAATGGTCAAGCAGTTTCCTGCTCTCTTTTCTTTCCATGAGATGCTCAATGTTTTATGAAGACTATTTCTAAAACGCTATATCCACCAATTTTTCACATTTGTGTTTTTTCATCAGAAATGATTGCTTATGGGTACTTTCATGTGGTGTAAAAATGACTGTTTTCAGATTTTTAATTCGTAGATTTTAGTCGTGTATGAAAATGTTGTTGTTTTTTTGCAAAATTCTATATATCCATTGTTTCGCTGGAATGGAATGTTCGTATCCTATATATTTGACTGTGATATGTGGTTGTCTCACACCTAGCTGTTAAGATGAAAGCACTTACTGGAAGTCGCTCTGGATAAAAGCATCTGCTAAAAGACTAAAATGTCAAATGTTTTACATACAGATCTCATATTACTGTATCTAATTATTTTGTAAAACATTTTTTAAACATTGATGTCACAAATGTAGCATTTGTACAGTTATTTGTTACATTTGACTGTGTAAAACCTATCAGTACTACTTATTTATCTGAAAATGATGTGGATATATAGCATTTTGCAGAAAAACATGATTATTTGTCTCTGAACTGAAACCATCAAGTGACATGTCTGTCATTGAACAACCCCATGCCATGATTAGATATTGAAAAAACACACCAATCTCTTTCATAATTTCTTTAAACAATAAAAGCTAATTCATCAACATTTCTGAAAATGGATATATAGTGTTTTGGAATGAAACTCTTCATATATTCAATGCATATTCAACTGATGTCTGTATTAATGGTGCAATATGCAGAAATCGCTCAGCCATTTCCTGGTCACAAAAATTCTAATAGTTTGCCTAATTTCAGTTTATGTGACAAAACAAGTGTAGAAAATCATTGTACCATCGAAACCGCTGTGAAATATATTTCACAGTATTTTCAGCTGTTTGAAGCTGGTGTACAAAACCGAAAGTAAAAGAAGCAAAAACGAAACTTAACAAAGGGAAGCGTAGAAATAGTGCACATAGAACAGATCTACCGCTTCTTAGACGCTTTCAATGAGAATGACAGAATCTATAAATCACATTTGTATGTAAATTCGGTTACACATTGCAGCTTTAATATTGCTTTTTTAATATCCCTAACTTTCAAACACAGAGGCATGTGTAGGCTATACACTCACTTGACACTGTGATGGATTTTGAAGACAGTCTTCTGAAATAGATAGGCTATTGCCGTAAGACTCTTTGGTCAAAGATACCCAGGAAAAAAATGGTATTCTTTCAGTTTGAAATGTACGAACCACATTCTGGGTTCACACTGCTCACATTCCAGATCTTTTGGCAGATGCACACACAGCATTTTCAATTCAGCATTAACTGGCACAACTATTGGAACGCTCTTCAAACGGGTAGAATGTTCTTTAACCCTCATGCCCAGGGCAAAGCATGCACGGTCTGTAACATGACACTTCTGTGGCTTCTGGGTTGTTTGCACTGAATTAGCTCCACGTCTGTCAACTGGCTTGGCACCCTAATCACAATAGGAGGGAGCCATGGTACAGCATGTTGTGCGAAGTGATGGTTGCCATATCACAGTTTGCAAACCCAAAAGAAGAGGGAGTCTGTCATCCCTGTGTTGAAGCAGAAACAGATACCAGATGCAAGTTTAAAAAACTCTCCCAGTCTGTCCACTCCTGTACCATGCAGAGCACAATCTGTTGGAGTGTCTTGTTCCAACAAGGTGTTGCCCATGCCAAAGTTCCCACATGGCTGTCTGTGTCTGCCTATGCTGGTTCCCCTGAACCCCCATTTACCATTATGCCAGTGCAGAGAACAAGCAAGGGTGTGTGAATAAGGGCAATATAATATAATAGAATAAGGGCTGTAGATTATGCTGCCTAATTACCTAAGTCTGATCATCTTATTGTGGATGTTTTATCTCATGTTATGGACTGTTTTATCATATGAGAGTCTGTAATGTCCAGAAAACAATCTAACATCACCCCCACCCCCCTATAGCTGCTAAATGGAAAGTGTTTCATGTCATCTGTAAGTGTATGGATTCAGGAAGTGCAGTATGTGTGGAGTAGTGTCAAGCTGAACAGTGAACTATGAACTATGACCTCTGTAGGACTATTTAAACCTCTGCTGACTGCTGGAAACATACCAGACAGTGGAGGCTGGTGGGAAGAGCTATAGGAGGACGGGAATAAATGGAACGGAGTCCAAAATGTGGTTTCCATATGTTTGATGTGTTTGATACCGTTCCATTAATTCCATTTCAGCCATTACAATGAGCCCGTCCTCCTATAGCTCCTCCCACCAGCCTCCACTGATACCAGAGACTGATAGATCTCCTAACCATGACTCTTGTGGCATGACTCTTTACTTACATTTCCTTTCATATAAAAGTCCTGCATGGCAAAACAAATTCTTGGGTGTATAACAATGAACATTGCTAAGCACAACGACGATGATACATCATGTATCATACAAAGATTCAGTCCTTTTCAAGACAACTAATGTTCCTCTGAGTACCTCCAGAACACCTGCATGGTGCTGTAACTTCAGATTGTAAACGGATATCAAAGCTTTTGACATCGATACTAACACTAATTTCACTTTTATGGTTCATCTTTATCTCTTATTCGCCTCAACACATTTGAAACATAACTGTCTGTCAGTTTGGAATTCTATTCAAGGGAGGGTGTGCGTGAGCTGTAAGGTCTTGGAGAAAAACTTTGCCAATGCCGTTACGTCCTGAGGTGGTGAGCCAAGCTACTATACTCACGGAGACTCTCTTTGTTCTTTGTTACCCCAGGGCGTAGGGCTGGTAGTGGTACAGACCTGAGTCGGAGCAGTGGTCTCAGTTGGTTTGTTTGGAGCCTCTCTTGTGGTTCCATTCTCCAGCTGGCCCTTCCTTCCCCTTGGCTAAAATTGTCCGGGGTCACGGTGGCAGCTGGTTTGTATGATGTGATCATTGAGATCGGATGAAAGTGATTCACAGTGAAAATAAATGATTCAACCGAAAATATAAGCAAGTTGCTCAAGACCTACATAATGAATGTCATGGTAGTAGGTTAAGTAATTACAATTATCTTGAGTGTTTGCAGTACAATGATCCAGTAACGTTTTATATTTTTATTGTTATGCATTTGGAGAGACCTATGTGCACTTGCACAGCACACAACATCTACAGACTTCTGTTCCAGGCTCAAATCTGCTGTCGATCATTATGAGCCAAGTCTCCAGATTTGACCACCAACTGTCTACAAACATTATCTTCTAAAGAAGTCGCTAATGTCCTCTAAGGCTTAAGCAACCCACTGGTCCCTTCCAGCTTTACTCATATAATTTAAGGCAGAAACAAGGCCAGGCCAGGAAACTGCCCATTAGACCACCTCCCAGTGTTAAAGGCACCAGGAGGCCTGGCTCACCCCACCTCTGGTCTCTGGGCAGTACAGAGGCATAGCCTGAATGCCCTGGACACAGATCCCATTACTGCCCTTGACCAACACAACCTACCATTCATACTCAATAAGTGTGTGAGGGGTTATGGGGATTTTGTGTGTGTGTGTGTGATAAATGCCCTCTCTAATAGCCCAGGGTTTAATAACCTTTCCTTGGCCTCTCATTTCTCCTGCCTCTGGCCATCAACACTGAATGGCTCTCTTTCCATTCATGACATGAAGTACGTATGTTTAGTTGACACTCCCTTATTAGACTGAACTGCCACTTAAAGAAATGTGTTTGTGTGCTGCTCATTTTTTCAATTTATCCAGTTAAACCGTGTCAATAAGGGTTCTGTGTACATGCAGGGAGATAGATTTAACCGTACCAAATGCGTCACACTTGCTCACATTTTATTTCCCACTTAACTGAATGAGGAGACAACACGTAAAAGCAGAGACCCTAATCTCAACTGAGTGCAAGGATAGTGTTCATTTATTTATGCTGGGTGGGATTTAATTCACATTCATGCATATTCAATGACTAGCGTGAATGTTAACTGTATAATAGTTGAACAAACACTCCTTTGCACACTTTATATGACTTTGCAGAAAGAAGCACCACATAGCCTTTTTAAGAGACATAACTTTTAATGGGTATTCATCCAACATTAATTCTGGACTGCCAGCGATTACTCCCCAAATCTGAAGCATTCTGTACTTAATTGCCAATTAGCTTCAGTTTGCATCACTGCATTTGTTGTCTGGGGATGGCTGGATTGTCCTTAACCTGCACTTTTTACTTCTTAATACTTTTTCAGTCACTAACAACTGTCTACTGTTCACAGGTAGACACTGACAGATCAAACTGCTGAAGTAATGTATGAAAATATATGCACTCACTAACTGTAAGTCGCTCTGGATAAGAGCGTCTGCTAAATGACTAAAATGTCAAATGTAATGCTAACAGGTAGACACTGACAGATCAAACTGCTGAAGCAACGCTAACATACTAACATTACGGAAAGCTGCTGACTTATCTTCAGTATTTGACATATGGCTTTAATAGTTAATGGTACCAGAGAGACAGCGTTCGATGCCCTGAAGCTCCCGCTTCACAGTTTCCCCCCAAAATGAGATTGTAGATTGGAACCATTATCCTCTCCATTTGCTGAGTTTTAGACCAGGAGGATCCAGTTAATGAGAAGGGGGTGATTATCAGCACATTTCTATGAACCACTGACTCAAGCCATCTCTGCAACACAATACAGTAAACATCTGGGGTGGGACAGTACACTGCCATGGGGGAGACAGTCAGTCAAAGAATGTGACTTGATTTGATCCAGCAGAAAGCTGATTCCAGCTAGGCTATCATCTGGAAACGTCTGACCTATTTGGGCCACAACGTTTTGGGGTCATGTGAGGTCAATTAAGTGCCTTAGTTGGCACAGTGAGGTCAACAATGGGGCTGCTCCGCAGGGCACATTATGAATAATTGAAGAGAGCCAGAGAATCACATGGGGTAAACAACGTGTGCTTTTGGATAATTGGAGGGGATTCATGTATTTGGGATGGAAGAAGGGTTGCATGTGAGGAGTAAGCAGGGCGTTAAAAAACATTGCATGCATGAACAAGTTAACCAGCTAGATTCCATGTGAATAGGAGGAATAGTAGCATCTTCAAACAGAGGCTGCAGTGCAGCTGTAGAAGGTCAGCTTCTACACCTTCTGATGTCATCTTTTGAATTATTCTGATGTAATGTTATTGAAAATACCACGTTGTTTTATGGAGATTATCGGGAAAACCCAACTGTGTGCATCATGTGGCAATGCTGGTTGAACTTTGATGTGGTTGGAGGTAAACAGTAATTACATAAAGCCTGTTCACCAGCTTCTAAAGACTTCAGCTAATTATACCTAATGAAGTCAACCATATGTTTTAGCGCCTAGAACCGCGGGAGAACACAGAGACGACCTCATTGTTCCAATTACCTTCTCCTTCTATAATGGCTACTCAGGAACAAAGACTCCTTTGTCTCCTGCATATTACATTTTAGTCATTTAGCAGACGCTCTTATCCAGAGCGATTTACAGTTAGTGCATACATTTTTTCATACTGGCCCCCCGTGGGAATCGAACCCACAACCCTGGCGTTGCAAGCGCCATGCTCTACCAACTGAGCTACACGGGGCCACAAACCATGCATAGACAGGCTTATTATATGACCTTTGACAGTGTTATTATTCATACCCTAAGTTATTCCACTATCTACCCATATGCTTCAAGAGTAGGCCTACTGATGTTGCTCTTCATTTTCGGTGGAAATGTCAACTGAACTGCATATGGGATTATGATATCTTCTGTGAGACCTTTTCAAGTGCTTCTTCATGCATAATTATCTTTGTTTGAATATGCAGGAATGAAAGGCTAGTTTAGGGTTGGTCAGTGGCTCTTGTAACTGTTGAAAGCAGCCAAATTACAAGATTCAACGGATTGACCATGTTGTCTTATCAGTTCTAAACAAGAATTTCCGCAAAATGTTGAATAATTTTTCATGCAAATTATCTTGATTTATTATTTTGATGTAGGCCTGCAGGTTTTTTCGATATGATTTATGAGTTCGCTCTTCGTATTAAGTATTACAACAGGTTATTAACATATTGTAACATGTTGAAATGTCATACATCAGGACATACTGCCGATTATTATATTCACCTCTCACAGCTCAATCACTTCTGGTGATACTTTCCTGTCTGTCGTATGCTATTGTGTTAGTTACTGTACAACAGCATCCAATGCTTTCCCACTTGGCACTTATGTGCACCAGAGTCCCCAGATACAATATCATTGACCTTGTTACTTATGATACCCACCCCCCTCCTGTTCTTCAATAATTGAATCCCTCTAGACATCTAAACATATGGCAAGGCCGCCATAACACCCACCCATAACACCCACCCCAACACCCTTCACACCCCCCCACCACCCCAACTCACCCTGCTGTTACCCCAAACACCACTTCCACTGCTGCTGACTCTCACCCGGTCTTTGTCAATTAATGTGTGCTTGAGTGAACCCACCCCCACGTTTAGGGATTAACATCTAGACAGACACAGCTGATTGGCTGCCAGGACAGAGACTGGCCCTGATTGGCAGGGGATACATATAGAAGCTGGCAGGAAGGGCTGTTTGAAAGGTGAGAGTGGAGAGTAGAGACGGACTGACAGAGCAGCCAAGAGAGAGGGAAAGACTTGTGTAAAAGTTATAACAAGGTAAGATGATTTATTCAATTTCTGTAACATCACACAGCTTTGCTTTTAATGAGTTTCATTCACATCTGTGTATTCTTAATTCCAAAGACATAACTGTCATATCAACAGCCAAGTTCAAAGTAAGCATGGCTTCATTTTTAAAGACAGGCTGTTGCCTCAGGCACTGCTTGGCTGCAGGGGAAACGGTTATAACATGGTCACATGACGTAAGCTCAGTCCCACAGGATGCTGGGACAGAGAGAGAGAGAGAGAGAGAGAGAGAGAGAGAGAGAGAGAGAGAGCTTGGGAGAGCTGAAGCCAGAGATACTCCTCCCTACAGCTGCCAAGCGACAGGGTCCTCTCACATACGCAGGCCATATGGGGGCCCTGTCATTCAAAACGGGTCACGTGACCGAATAAAAACCATGACTGGCCTGAAAACACAGAAGGGCTACGGTGCAGAGAGAGATAAACTGTAGAGATAAGTTGTAGCAACACCAATGGAGATATGGAAAACTAATTATTATTTGTGAGGGCTAAATATGTGAGTACCATGTGTACATTTTGGTTTGTCTTTGAGTTCATTAATTTGGCCTAAGAGGTGCTGTGATCTAACTAAGTTCAACCGTAGAGGGTCAATGTAAACAGTGGTCGATGTTTGACAGAGGGTTATAGGTCAAGTGCTTGAATGGATGAGTTTTGCGGGTGAAGCTAACTAGCCATTTCCCTGTTGTTTTTGTCTCCCCCCCCCTCCTCCTCCTCCTCCTCCTCCTCCTCCCCTCTCCTCTCCCTCATCATCTCCCTCTCCCCTCTCTTTCCCTACAGGTCTCTATGAAGGAGGCAGGAGATGGCCTCCATGCTCAGATGAACTCCATGATGGGGGCTCTTCAGGAACTCAAGCTTCTACAAGTGCAGACAGCGCTGGAGCAGCTAGACATCTCAGGGAGGCCCATCCAAAGGGCGGTCCCACCACCAGCAGCAGACACATGTGGCCCTTGCCCTATCCCCAGCCTCAAGCCTACCCTCGGCCCTGGCCACGATGAGACAACCAGTCAGGAGGAGCAGCAGCAGCAGCAGAGCCGGTTGGGGCACCGGAGCAGCCTGAGCACCTCTCTCTCCTCCTCCAGCCTGGAGACATTGGAGACTGAGAGTGAGAGCCAGCCTCTCCCTCTCCCCCGCAGAGTGTCTGGATACACCGCCCCACAGGTGGAGTACTGTGGCCCACGTCTTAGCCAAGTGTTTCCAGAGCAGCATCAGCAGCCGGCTTACCCAGCCAAGGTGGTGGATCTGCCTGGCATCCTCTACAGCTTGTCCAGGGAAGGCCCCTCGCTGGACAGCGACTACTCCCAGGACAGCATGGATGACTCCAGCGACTGGACATCCTCGCTCATGAGCCGCAGCCGCAACCGGCAGCCCCTGGTCCTGGGGGACAACGTTTTCGCCGACCTGGTGGGCAACTGGCTGGACTTGCCTGAGCTGGAGAAGGAGGAGATGATTGGGGGTGTTGGTGTGGGGGCGGACGTTGCCGACAGGCCCGACACCCCGGCCCACCCTCTCCGTCTCAGCCGCTCCCAGGAGATCTGCAGAAAATTCTCTCTGACCACCAACATCTTCAAGAAGTTCCTGCGCAGCGTGAGGCCCGACAGGGACAAGCTCCTGAAGGAGAGGCCAGGCTGGATGGTCCCCGAGAACCAGGAGACCGAGCTCTTCAAGAGGCCCAAGAAAGTGGCCAAGCAGCAGACCAAGGGGAGCTTCTACCTCCCGTTCTGGGCAGGTGTAGGGCAGCAGCAGCAGGGTAAGGGCCGGCCATGTCCCCAGCTGGCTGAGGAGAGACACAGCCAGAGCCAGGGCCAGTTCTCAGGGATTTACATAGACAGGAGACAAGAGTGGAGACAGGAGGCCAGAGTGGAGAAAATGCAGCCCTTGTTTGACTACAACACGGCTGTGTGGGTCTGATGCTGACACTGCTCCAGGGTGGTGGCAGGTGTTGGGGATTTGGCTGGGAGCTCTGGGAGGTTTGTGTGTCTGTCTGTCTCCTCTCAGAGAATGGACTGACTGAGGGATGAATATCCAGACTATTTCCCAACAGAGAGATTATCAGGGCAACTGTTTGTCTGACAATCCTAAGACCTCTCTGGCTGTGACTGAGAGAGCAAGCAGGACTTCCTCTTATAGATGGGTTCACCAAAATTGGTAGGATTCGAATGAGTCCATAAGTGCCCTGGACTATACGATAGACGGTACTTCAATATGGACATGATGCTCAGAAATGCTCTGAATTTCATCATCATAGTTCAAACCTCAATCTGTTTCATTATGTTTGAATTCTGCTTTAGGTCCCACCCAAGTGTATCCCCACCCTCATGTCTCATCTCGTACTTCTATCTAGCAATAGAACACAGCTGTTACGCGTACTGCATGGGCACTAGTAAATGTTTTATCTATGACGTTGTGAAACAGTTGTCACTGAACTGCCACTAAACACGACCACAGGTGCTTCTCTGCCTCGCTGCCCAGAGTCAGACAGCTAGATGAACACACAGAGTCTAATATTGTTACATCAGCCTCACTCAGGGATCGGGATGTGGCCTGTGTGACCAACTGGGTTTGAACCTGGATCTCCTGTGCACCACAAGACTGTTCTAGCCCGCTGAGGTAAAGCCTAGGCGTTAGCTTGGGGAGCTAACACAAGTCTTCAGGTCTCAGGCAAGGTTACTCATCACATATCCTTGGTTCCGAACCACCTCCGTTACACCTTCACCATTCACCATTCACCTACACACACAAAGCCACTCCAGGATAGGGTTAACTCTGCCTTGTAGACATGATGGCACATCTTGACTCTACAGCCAATCTGCCTGGGTAGTATATTACACATGGCAGAGAGAGAGAGCGAGAGCTGTGTGCCATCTGGTTGCCTACAGTTACATAAGGACAAGCCCGCAGCACAGACAAGAGGTGCAGTCATTCAGCGTAGGCTGTCAAGCGTTTTGAAATCAACCCTAAGCTGCGATGCTGACGTTACATGTGTATATACTATGTATGTAATGCCAAGCAGGGCCTGGAGATTTCAAGTAGAAAGCAGAGGACTGAGGAGGAGAATGTTTACAGTGAATCCTTCCACATGTACATACAGTAATGAAGTCAGCCATATGTTTTAGCGCCTAGAACCGCATGAGAACATGTTAATGAACATGTTAATGATGTCAACAAAGTTGATTTAAAGGGACTTAAAGAGAGGGAGATTGAACCCAGTAGATCTGTGGTTAGTCCTAGCTCTCTTTATGAAAGAAACTGTATGGAGGAGGCGTTGTGGGGAGATTTCACAGAGCAACGTGGTGTCAGAATGGTTTAGCAACCTTTACCATCATTTCCCAGAGCTGAGCTCCACATCATTTCCTCAGGGAAATCACTGAAATGACAAAAACGTATTATCTTATTTTAGAAAACATATGGTATGCAAGTACAATCCTCAGCCCTCACTAGTAATAAGAGTGGCCCGAGAAGTTGATTTCGATGTGAAACATCACCCCATCCATGCATTCAACAGAAATGGATGTGTTAAATATCTCTATACACATATGGTGGGTGATTCAATATTCAGGTCAGATTATATTCAATTAGTCACACATGGTCTGACCGTCTCTTCATATTTACAGCTGTAATTGTCATTTTAGCACTGTTGTTAAAACTGTGGTTCTGCGAACTTCAAAGTGTTACTGAGTGTAAAACTGTCACTGACTCTTTGTAAATTAAACTGTTTTCTGAAAAGACGTGCCGCTCTGGTTTCTTGACTGGAAATTTTTATTGTATACTCCAAACATAAATATACTCTTTGATCGGTGACCCATTTTTATTGGGTGATTTTAACACCCCAACATACTTCAAAACAATTAGTCTGCCTCGCTATGTTTATATTTGAAATAGTTCTTAGTTTTTTGGGGGGATATTTTTTAAATATAATTGAAATGGCAGATTTACCACATACAGTGTACCCTCTGAGACTATGATCAAGCTTTCCCTTTACTGAGAATAGTTCTGGGATTTGACTCTGCCCTACTCTACTCTGCTCCCTGCATTCTCTATAGATCTAAGTGCTGTAGCATGACCGACAATTTGGTTAGTGTGAAGCGTGTCATCTCCTGTGCATCAACTCAGGAAAAAGTAAGTCTAAATCTGTATCACAACTCCATCAGTGTTTTAAATAAATAAACATACAGACAGGCCCACTTTGATACTCTCTCTCTCTCTCTTCTCCAGAACCACTCTATGACACTCAGTGCCAGGGACCATTGGGTTCAAACACAGCAACCTATCCACAAGCATTATATATAGTATACCCAATGCCTTACTTTCTGAAGGGCACCATTAGGGCAGTGCACAGGTCATTGTCCAATTCACCTTACAGAAAGCAGAGGTGATGCTAATGCACTTGACATTGATGTAGAAATGGAACACTTACGCATTCTCAGAACTGTATCAAGTACAAAACCTGTTTAGCATAAAAAGACACATTCACAACAGCTGCAAACAGGAACATGTTGCAACATTACGTGACGTTCTTAGAACAGGTCAGTGAGCATTCCAGATTAAAAAGACTGCAGTAGCTTGTGAGACGCAATACAATATACAGTCATCTGCATGGGGGTAGGAAGGGGGAGGAGGATTACAGTGAGTTGGTACAGTAGGCTGGTAGTCCACTTCCAGGTGCAGAGTTGGATGGGAAGTTTTGGGGCTCTTCCCATGTGTGTGTGTGTGTATGTGTGAGGGGGGGGGGGGGGACAGCTGCAACTTTCGTCCCTTTCTCCTGGTTCCAGTTTTCCATCGGGAGAGAAGCAATAGATGCTTGCTGACCACCAATCCCCCCCCTTTCCCTCCATTCTCCAACCCCTAGCTAGGCAGCTGTCGCTCTCTCACAGCCCTGCCTAGGCTAGCCTCGGCCACAGCACTGCCTGATCACAGATCTGGGGCACAATGCTTAACCCATACAGCATCGTTATACAACCCTGCAAGAAATACATATAACCCCTTGCAAGAGTCAGGCAGCCTCCCTCGCAGCTTATTGTAGTTGAGCTTTGACTTTCCCCCCAAATGTATTGATGGAAATTAAGAGATTATAATATTAAAAGCATTTGTTTATAGTGAGTGGAGGGATTATCATTACTGGAAGGGAGGGGGGGATGGAGGGGGTGATAAGGTGGATGGGGTGGCCATGCTGCCTGGAATCCATGTTGGCTCAGATTCCCACCTCCCAACATTGGTCTTTCAATAGCCTCCTCAGCTGTTCAACCAACAGCTCTGTCTCCTCTCGTTGTAATGTGCTCAAATTTCACTTTTATATTTGTCAGCTCCGATAAGCTCAGAATCTATGCTCCTTTTTTGCACAAAAAAACAACTTCCCACATGATACACACACATATGCCAGGCAGGTAGACACTAGCAAACCACAGTTAATTTGTAATAGCATGTAAACACCCATGGTGTACTTTTGGAAATAAAAGACTGCAGACCAAGGACATACAGTTAAAGCCAGATTTGAGGGGATAAAAGCAAGAGTTAAATCTGGGTCGATTCTTTTAGGATTTGCCATCTGGCCTCTTGCAGTGCATGTTCATTTTACAATATGTTTTTTTCACTCTCTCTTGATTTAGCGATGCATGCAAAACAGAACAGACACAATCTCATATTACCAAAATAAACATGTTCTTACAGATCAACATGTTTTGGCTTCTGGCAAGTGCTCTATGCTACTTGTGTTTGAATAAATTGGGAAACAGAAGAATATGTGCCATCTTTTTAGCTAATCCTTATGGCTATGCCAACCTGAGATTCACATAATGATAACGGGTCCCCAGAAGGAGAGGAGTTAAGACAGACAGGTGCTCTGATAGGTGAAACTCGTGAACGATAAGACTATTTCATCTGGTTCTCTGTCAAATTCTCAACAATGTAAGGAATCCCATCCGTATGTTTACAAATGTAAGATCATGTTGATTCTTCTACCACCAGATTGTGTTGATACAGGAGTGAGGCTTTTTATTACCTGCAAGATTTTTCTTCCAATTTCAAATGTTTTGAAGTGCAAATGACTACCAATAATGTCTTCGGTGGTCATTGTTGTTGGCTTTACATTTTAATTCCCACATCAAAGAGAAAACACGTTACTGAGCGGTCTTCTCCAATTTAAGAGATCTGTACCAACTTGCAGCATATATACAACCGCTTTGAACCAAGATGCAAGTGGAGCATGAACCAAAAAGTAATCTCAGTGAGCAACACAAACTGAAGGAGTGATAGTGATCAGTAAACAGTCACTAGTTTGTTAATGTGCATCCTGGCAGTCCTCAGTCTGAACCCGGACGGTGGTGAGGGCGGGGTGAGCAGGAAGAAGAAGAGGTGCGAATGAACGACACACAGATTAGAAGTGACCTCTGTGGCTTCGGCTCAGCGGCCATCGTTTAAAACTCACCCCGGCAACAAAGGCCTCAATATCCCCCAACGCCCACAAACTCTTCCAATTCTATTAAACCCCATGAACGCTAAATAATTGAGCCTCGTATTTAGCTGGTCTTATCTTGGTGGGGTGTCTAGCTACTTTAAAGCGGGTGTTTGCACTCACACACCCCCTCGTCCCTCTGAGACCTGTTTCCTCCTCACTAAAGATTAAATGGCCCCGGCCCAATGGCAGCTCCTCAGCCCCTTCATTAATCCAGATTAAAACGGAAATAATCTCTTAAATTGTCTCACACCCAGCATCATTGCGGACGGTTATCCAACAGTACACTGTGTTATTCAACAGAGGACAACAACTCGGACTCCTCACTGGCTGCTCAGTTTGTGTGATTTTACAGGAACAAGATAATTTAAAGGTCTCTGAAGGCCACTTTTCTGTTTCTTGGTGCTTTTTCAGGTTTGGTTTTACTACCTGCTCCACTCTGTTCAGCCATTTGCTCTGC